AAATTATTAAATTATTATAATAATTTAATAATTTATAAATAAATTATTAATTTTATAAAATAATTTATAATAGATTATTAAAATTTATAAATAATTTAACTTAATTAACTAAATATATAAGTTTACTTTTTATATTTATTTAAATAACTTAAATAACTAGTTATTAATATAATTTTATATTTATAAATTAAAAAGCACTTTTAATCTTTACTAGTAATTATTATTATAATATTATTGCCTATAGGTTTCCTAACCTATTCACTAATATAAACCTAAAGAACTTATTCTAGGTTTATCCCTTAGGAATCTACCCTATACTAACTATCTAGTGTACGGTTCGTCACAGACATGCTCCACCATATACAAGGTCCTTTACAATTATGTATAATAAGTAGCCATATACCCGAGATCAAATGCGCCCCGATGTATGCTGCTGGACGACGATATAGAATAGAAGGAAATTATATAACTGCTAAAAATCTAGACTTTTATTAGTGAATTTAGGCCATAATTAAATTTTAAAGTAAGAAAAGTAACCTTTATATATTCTAGGTAACATTAAAAGAAATTCAATTAAAAAAAATATAATAGTAATTAATAAATTATATATTAATTATTATATTAATTTACTTATTATATATAATATCTATTATTTATAAATTAGGTTGTTTATGTAATTATATTTTTATCTATAACCTGCCTAAAATTAATAATATATACTGCTATTAACTAAAATATCTCTTAAATAGAATATTATTAAATAGGTGATAAGAATTATACTTTTAAAAATTAACTATTATTATCTTCTATAGTTGCTTAGAATTATTAATTCATCTATTGATAAAGCTGGACGACGATATAGAATAAGAGGAAATTATATAACTGCTAAAAATCTAGACTTTTATTAGTAAATTTAGGCCATAATTAAATTTTAAAGTAAGAAAAGTAACCTTTATATATTCTAGGTAATTAATAGCATTAAAAAAAGATTTAATTAAAAAAAAAATATAACAGTAACTAGTAAATAATATATTAATTATTATATTAATTTACTTATTGTATATAATATCTATTATTTATAAATTAGGTTGTTTATGTAATTATATTTTTATCTATATCCCGCCCAGAATTGACGATGTATACTGCTATTAATTAAAATATCTTTTAAATGGAATATCATTAAGTAGGTGATGAGAATTATACTTCTAAAAATTGACTGTCATTATCTTCTATAGTTGCTCAGAATTATTAATTCATCTATTGATAAGTAGAGTTGCTGTAAGTTAACGGCTCATCTTAGTCTTGATTGACCTTCATGCCCACCTCGCTCCATTGAGCGGTAATAGGTTCATGATTCCCCGAAAATCTTTGTCCGTCAAACCACAGCTCAAATCTTAAATCTGCGGGAGCAACAATAACACGAAGATCAAACTTGCAGATGTAGAATTTGTATCCTTTCCGGAAAAAAATTCCTCTTTTCTGCTTAAGTAGGAGTTGATGTTGTTCTACACCATCCAAATTGCTTTTCACTCTACATAGTTTAGTGACACCAGCTATTGACAGACATTTGTGTTAACTAGCATTCTCTTTAATATCACTAACGTGGCCATGAAACTAACATACCTTGTTTAAGGCTCTTTGGGAGAAATGTGGCCTCGTTTTGAGAAGTTACTATGTCTGCATTCCAACTCCTCGTTGTGTCGTTAGGTCCCAAGCGGTATTCAAACGATTTAACAAGTGGAACGTTCGGATCGATTGTATCTCCCTACTCTAAGCTTTAGTGATATATGGAATATTTTTATTTCCGAACTACTTACCTTTCGAATAATCCATTGAATCTGATTAATGGCCCACTTCTTTTTAGGATTCCAATGATCTTCAACTATCTCTTCATCAAAATGGGTATCTGGAGAATACATCTCTCTCACTACAATGCCGTAACTTGAACGAGCAATTCTTGCTGCGAGAACAGGAATATTTCCCGTTTCTCTCCTTTGCTGGTAGTCTAGCAGGAGGCCTCGAACAACAACAAGTTGCGGGTCGTGGCATGGTACTACTGCAATCTTAGCGGCATTGGCGTGCGGGTAAGCTATGACATGTTGCTGAATCCTGTCACGTATATAGGTTGAACTGCCAAGTCCACCAGAGAGTACCATATATTCCTTGAAACAATCAGCTTATCTCAGGTTGCTGTCATTAATATCCAGCAATCTGTGCTTACCACTTGCTGAGTAGGATAATGCTCGCTTAGCCAATTTAGCTGCTCTGTTATTCTCTTCATGATGCCTTCGATCTGTATTTCAAAGAGAGATTGGATCTCCGCCCTATAATCTGTCAGCTTCGCTTGACAGTACTTCTTATAATAGATTCTTCGAGGCTCTTTACATTGAAAATAGCATGCGCCCATTTTCCACAGCAAGTGTGGGATAGCTTAAATCATTTGATACCCCTTCCATTGGCATTCTAAACACAGGTTGCATATACACTTTTTCACCAAACTTGTGTTTTAAAATTTTAAAATGGTGACTCTTGGACAAACGAACCGCCAAATCGTTTGGTAGCTGGCGCTGTATATCGGGATTCCCGGTAAGCCTCTCCATGATAAGTCGAACAAATGCCCGATCGATCAATGTTGATCCAATCCCTACACCTTTCACAGCGGAAACTTGTGCCATCTGAGGGAAATTGATATCAGCTGATGTTATGCGCATTAGAGCTAAATCGGTTGTTCCTCCCCCAGCATCTACCGTTAGAAATACGCTGCCTCGGTTGAAAACGATTGGGCTTGTCTTGAGCGTTGCAACGGCCGCCGCTTCAGCCTCTGTAAGATCGATCTGTGCTATGTGTTTTAGACCCTCAACTCCAAAACCCGCATCGCGCACAATTCCCTTGAAAATGTTGATAATCTCCATACGGGTCCAAGTAGTGGGCACACTGAATAGGAAAGTTACGGCCATGTCTGCCCAGCCGCCGAGGTATCGTTTCCCCGTCTGCATCTCAACAGTTTCTTTAACGTGCAGATATACCTGGTGTAGATAATCTGTCGCAAATAGCTGTGCTTCTTTTGTATTTTTCGGTAAATTCGAAAATCCTCGCTGCTGCGCTGCAGACAATGTTTCCTCATCGATGAAGATTTTAAAAAAATCTCGTCGTCGTTTTCCTGGCAGTTTATCATCGTCATCATCGCACATAAATCCCCAAGACGATACTGTTCCATCTGGATTGTATATCAGAGTCGTCGGGACTTTTCGCTCTCCTCGATCACCACTTCCAGGCCAGTCATTGATCACCTGAATTGGTGTCTTTGGGGTCATCCATGCAGCGCCTTGATATATTTCATCAGCAGTGTCAATTTTTGGTTTGCATCTTCATTTGCATATTCACCAGTATACGTTGTGCCGAAATCGATTGAGACGGTAATATCGCTGTTTTCAGCCATCATGACATCATTTCCATGTGTCGTCTAATTGACCTGTCTAGCAATCTCTCGTAGAGGTTGACTCAAAGCTAGCATCTGGGAATTTTATAAAACGTAAAGTTCGGCCATCCGGAAGTCTGCCGATGTTTGGAGAATCGCAATTATCCCCTGAGTAATATGCGAGGAGCGGAAAGCACGGCTGAAATGCTACGCTGTTGGTTGTGCATGTTTCAAAGGATCCTTGTCTAGTCTCTCATTTGATGCGACGGGGGGATGTATCTTCGCAAAAGATCCTGAACGGTCTGCATTTCATAAGGCGACTTTTCCAAATAGTGTTGCTATTCAATTGGTAGCCCAGTTTATTTTGCTTTTGTTTGCAAGCATAAAACAAATAGAAGAGGATCAGTCATCCGATTGTATGGATTGTTAGCTTTAGTAGGTGAGAAGAGCTCGAAAAGAGGGGTGTGGGGAACCAGTCTTTGCTGCGTAGAGCGAAGTTTGTCCCAGTTGCGATTGCATAATGCTAGTATATTCATTGTCCCACTTTGATGCGTGGCCTCATGGTATAGCTTGCAGGGTTAAAATCCGCCAAATAGAAATCTTTGGGGGCTAACGCTAGTGAATTTTATTAGAGTCGAGAATTCATGAGCAACCAACTCATTTCTCAATCTGGAAGTCCGTGGGACTTTGGCGTTGTTCTACATATATCCCTGGAGACCACATATATTTACTACTATATCAATCCATTGTCATACACATATTTCCCGCCTTTAAACAAGCGCTATTCCGAATAGCGCTTATTTCAGCATTCAAATCCAACATGAATGCAGAAACCTCAATGGCCTGGACCTGCCCTTCGACTTATACTATTACTACTGGTATATCTTCCGGACATATTTCAACATCCTGGGCTTGTACCGCGACCACATCTTCCAATCAAAACACTCAGACGACGAGTTCCATAAGCAGTTCATCGACCACTGCTTCTATTACGTCTACTACAAAACCAAGCCTCCCGATATCCGATAGCCCAAGCGGCCCTACCTCTGCCTCTACTGAATTTTCGGATACTCGCACTGCCTATACAACAACTGAAATAAGTGCAACTCCTATTCCAACATCTTCGCAAATTATTACACCTATTCGCCAGCATACGGGAATCTCTACTGGTGCTACAGCTGGAATTGCGGTTGGCTGTGCTGCAGCTGGCCTCGTTATCGGTCTTCTCGCTTCCCTGCTTTTATTACGCCGCCGAAAGCACAGGGAAATTACCCATGATGTGGCAATTGTTGCTCCCAAGCCGTCTCCATTGATACATGATATCGATTCCAGTAGTTCTGGCACGGGCATACAACTGAGTCAATATCTCCTTGACGGAGTTCCAGATCAAGATATTGTGAGCGAATTACAAGCCTTGGGGGAGCTTATCTGCCAGCATGTCGAGGATAACTATACTCTTCAGCCGGTAGACGCTAACATACAGGTTTTATTGCAATCACTTCAGAGACTTGAGCTGGAATCCAAAACCTCGGGGTTAGACACCGAATTGATGGTCTCTTTAAGTGCCAGGAGCAATACTCGATATATTGCCCTCCGCTGTGTTATTGCAGCTGTTATATTCGCCAGCATTGACTTCCACTCCGTTAGCCATTATTCAATGCTCCCCAGACCTGCAGCTGAAATTATTCTATCTATGCCTGCTGCTGAATACGGGGCCAACAATACTCTAGGTATGTGATAGTTGGGGCTTAAATAAGAAAAAAAGCTAACAGGGGTGTATATATAGCCTTTTCTCAGGCATTATCGACTTGGCGCCGCTTATCCGCTTTCCTTCTCCATTCAAACCGCAGCCAGCGTACTCCTTTGCAAATGAACCAAACCACAGTCGCGACACAAGCCCAACGTCTAACTACTTCTTTGGTCGATTTTCTCGGCGTTTTTGTTAGGCCGGGAAGAGAGAGCCTGCAGGCTGATCATTTACGAGAAGTTATAACAGAATGTGCAAAGTTTGGCTATGTACTTTTCTCTCAGCCGGCTGAATGGAAGTTCAATTTTGAAGGGACTTCTATGGTAAATGGAAATAGGCATTCTGTAGTGGTATGCCCTGGATTAGAAAAATACAGCGATCATAATGGAACGCCATATACGAAGCTACGAAGAGTTGCGGCTCCTGTCGAAGTAGCTGTTTAAGCTTTGACAAGGGTTGGGAGGTCTAATGGGTATTTGGACAATGAGGCAGGATTAGGTCTTTTAACACATCATTCTGCCTACAGCTATATCGTATTAATAGTAATAAAATGATCAAAATTATCCACTTCGAGCGCCACACATGAAATAACTTGCTATTATCAGCGCATTGGATGTGAGTAGGGTGATGGATATAGCAAATGGAAATACTGCGGTGAATTACAGCTGTGCATGCCTATAAATGCATGCTAAGTATACTATAAATGCGGAGCAGAGTTTGCTGATCCGCGGGGAAGAAAGATTCCTTGTAATAAATAAAATTACTTGCAGGGTATAGCTACATTCTGCTGAGCTATATATGTACTTCACGGATATCTTATTCCCAATTAGACGGCCTCGCAATGTCAATGACTCAGAACCAACATACATAATGCACGAACGGAAATAACATACAAATAGGAAAGTGAAGGTCAGTGTAAAGGGGGATATGAAGAAAAGAGGAAAATCGCCACCTCGAAACAGACAGTTTCCTTTTTGCCCAGACACTGCTATAAACCCCCAAGGTATTTAGAAGACGCACAAGCTAAAACTAACTGTGGGGACAACTGAGGAGATATCTGAGTTCTCATTTGGCTTCGCTGCTCCGATATTCCCAGCGCCCAAACGAAAGTTGCCGCGCACCAGATTGCATGTAACGCTGTAAATATGGCAATAATTAGCTGAGGCGCTTATCGCTATAGGGGTTACGCTAACATATAGGCAGCGTGTTCCGTAAAGAGGCAATGCTAGATTTTTTTTCCCCATTCATCATCTTCGTCAAATATAGCTCTTTGAACCTTCTTGAACTTATAACAGTTTTCACGGCATTTTATAAGCTCCAGCTTTGTAAAGCTGGTCAAAAAATATGAGCAAAATTTTCTCTTCTATTCGTTCAACTTACCGTGCAGCCAGTGTGGCTATTGACAGCGGGCACACCCCAAATGAAATGCGCCGCAGCTTTGAGCTTGTGCAAATGTGCCACCGAGACCTACAGCTTCTTATTAAACTTCGCCACGAGCATCTTCACCTTCTGGAAGATCAGACCCTGTCACTTGAGCGTCTTAATGCCGTCATTGAAAAAGTACATGGTGACATGGTCGCCGCGTATCGCATTGTCGAAAAATATCGACCGGGACTGCATAGTGGTAAAACATCGCTGCAACATCGTATAGCATGGGCTAGTCATGATTCTCAAGAGCTTCAAATGCTAGGACCAATCATAAGTCAGCATCATGCAGCTGTGTTAGCTGAGATTACGTTTCTCAGGAGCCTTACAATTATCAGCGCAACGCAAAATGACGCAGGGAAAGCGAAAGAGGGTATTTCCTCACAGAAACAGAAAATATTCGATAATACAGATCTTTTAGAGGACTTAATGGGTGATGCTGCTGGTACTTTCACCCTTTACCTCAGAGGTTGTTTCATGGGTGTACTAATCTAATCTGAATAGCTTCTCCAAATCTGCTGCCCACTGCTCCGCTAACTGAAGTCAGCGCCAGGGCAAGTATACCTAACCTGTTGACAAATCAGGTGTACTGTGATCTACCCGAGCCCGTTATTCCCAATCTCATTCCTCACCAACAACCATTCAGTATTCATCAACCAACTGAACAATTTTCTTCTATTTGGATGCCAAGTGCCGAGACAAGTCTGGAGAGTCATCTACGCAACCAACGAGTGGTTTTGAATCAAAGCGATCATTCAGGATTGTCTCTTCTGCTCGAGGGTGTTTCAAATCCAAGCCTCAATCAGACATTGAAGACGCTGGCTCAGCCTTCTTACACTTTATCTAGTGACCAAATGTGTCAGCCATTGCTGCCATCATATTCATTCTCTCTTATTGGCGATGACTTCGCTCCAAGCCCCCATGCTCAGTATTCTCTAATCTCTAAACCTTCCACTCTGTCTCTGGGTTCAAGAGAAACGCCCAGCCACCAAATATCCGAAATGCAGCGCAATACAATCTCGGATCTTTCTGTTAACTATTCACACCTCCACTCTCTTCAACCAACTCCATCATCGAAGACAACAGCCCTGGCTTCGATTTCAATAGCTCCTCTTGCATCGGAATTTTCGCAAAACAATCCTCCGAATCAACACTTTGCGGAACAGTATCAATATGCAGATAATAGCACAAAGGAAGATGATCCGCAATTTAGTCCACGGATAGAGATGAGAAGCAACAAGCTTTATGAGTTGCAAGGATCTGAAAGGTCTCGAGAACAATTGGTATCTCAATAGTGTACTGCTTTATTATGTAATATAGTAATTGGTCATCACAACAAAACAATTATTAACATGCCTTTAGGAGCCATCATTAAAGCATATCTATATTAAAGAAAAAAATGTCCCTATTGACTATCTCACCATATAATAGTTTCTTATAGTTTTTCATCATTTACTAATTGAATTGAATAGTTGGATGTTAAAAGTGGAACCAACAGGTAAGCAGTCAATTATCACCGAAACCGCAACGTCTATCACTCTATGGTGACGTGGTTATGACCGACGTTCGGCTTGGGTTTCGCTGCTTAAAATATACCTTTCTGTGATCTTCCTTTGCTTATTACTTGCACATTCATGTGCATAAATATCTTATCGTTTAAACGTTACCATGTCTGCCACCATTCTTCTTGAGTTAACTACCAACCGGTCGCCCAAGGATCATGCAGACACCGCCGGTGACTTGATTCAGATTCAAATGACTAATGATGTTTCGTTCCTGCCGAATGAGCCTGAAGCAATAACCACAGCAATTGCTCAACCCGAGCGTCTGCATACTGTTCGGTCTAGAGTAGCGAACACGACCGATAGACCTAGCGATGAAATACACGACCAGTCATCTCGGCTACCATTTCGGCGCCTTATCGCCGCGTATCTATGCCTTTCAATCATCTACTTTACTTCATCCCTTGACATCAATTCAGTTGCCCTAGCTCTCCCAGTTATCGCCCGCGACCTTGGCGCTGGCAGCAGCATTACTTGGACTGGAACGGCCTATTTGATGGGCCAGGCCGCCTTTCAGCCGCTTTACGGCCGCCTATCTGATATTATCGGTCGGAAACCGGTATTAATGCTCTCTGTTGGTTTTCTCGTCTTTGGCGACATTTTGTGTGCCAATTCCCACACTCCCGCTTGGCTCTACGCGTGTCGTGCCATAAGTGGCATTGGTGGTGGCGGCATTAGTTCTATCATATCAATCATTGTTAGTGATCTCGTGAGCCTTAAAGACAGAGGCAAGTACCAAGGAATGCTTAATGCCTCCATTGGCGCTGGATCGGCTATAGGGCCATTCCTTGCGGCAGCTCTGATACAAAAGATGAGAATAGCGGGGATTTCGAGTTGGAGATGGATCTTTTACATCCCTCCAGTCCTGGCATGCGTTTCTGCTATAGCCTCTCTGTTTTTTCTGCCGTTAACAGATGTCAGTGGAAGTTGGAAGGCTAAGGCAAGGCAAATCGACTGGATGGGCCTTGCAGCTTCTCTAGTAGCAACTATTTGCATCCTGGTGCGCGGAGCTATATTACTACCTCGACTATGAGATAATCCTGCTGATGAGAACTTTTTGTTCTATAGATACCTCTCAATCTAGGCGGAACGTCCTGGGCATGGAGTAGCCCCGCGGTTATCTCCCTAATGATCATCGGCGGCGTTGCAGTGGCCGTTTTCACTATCATCGAAAAAAAGTATGCTCGCATTCCTCTAATCCCTCTTAGGCTTTTCACCAGCAAAGCCAGCGCAATTCTGCTCATTCAGAGCGCTCTGTACAACATAGTATGGCAAGTAGATATGTATTTTCTGCCAACATATTTACAAGATGTTCGAGGATTCAGTCCTTTGCAAGCTTCTGCGTTGATGCTGCCCATACTTTTATTTTCGAGCGTTTCTGGTATTTTGTCTGGCCCAGCCATGGCGATTCTCGGAAGGCAAGTCATATCATCCACTAAATCCCTAATATTGAGAGCATGAACGGCGTTGACAGGTAGAAGCTACGACTATATATACCATCCAGGCATCTTTCTGTGGTTGTTTGGCGTCTGCTTAAAAATGATGTTCAGCCAAACCACGAGCGTTGGGACTTATTTGGGAGCATTATTAGTTGAGGGCTGGGGTATTGGATGTGTATTTCAGCCAGGTACAGTCTATTTAATACATGCCTGCTCCTATACGACGATGTTATCATGACTACTTACCACTTTTAGGTCTCGTTGCTCTGCATGCACATTGCCCACCCAAAGATCGTGCGGTTGCGACGTCAACGCGGAACCTCTTCCGAATGCTCGGTTCCGTCATTGGTATGACAATCGCAACTGCTTTGCAGAGTGCTGTTACACAGGCGGCCTTGTCCGACAATGTCCCAGCTTCAGTGCTCTCGCAAGTTAAGATGGGAACGTGGCGATTCGGCACTACATCTTGGGACCAAGACATATCTTATGCCAGGTTTAAAGGTTTCCAAGCGGTGTTTGCAATGGAAATTCCTTTCATGGTACTCTGTTTCCTTGGTTGTTTTGGTATACCCAGTGCAACGTTAGGGGGAGACGACCAAATAACAGAAAGAGACGATCACTTTTCGCTACAAGAGAGAAATTAACTTTCAGTAACTATACGAGCACTTTCAAGCCGATGACTAGCCAGAGAAGTCTTCAGAAGACCGCACACTCCAAATGCCAGTAGGCTTTTAGACACAGCCTTTATGTTAGCCTTTTACACATCCTCCTTGCTAAGATAGCTCTAATCTAGATAAAGAATGGTTATCTTAATGTTAAGTAGATACCGAAGGTCCAGATGATTGAGGAGACAACTTAAGTAAGGAACCTGGGAATATCTCGGTCGTGATAAGCACAAAGCCCAAAAAGATTAGTTTATCCGGTATAGAGGCGTACAGATGTCTGGTTATAGTATCGTAAACACATGCATACTCACCCAGGGCTTTCCAACTCCATGTTGTGAATGCAAGGGCTGGATATGTTTTATCTCCACATGTCAACGAAAGGTATACGAGAGCTAAGTTAGATTACAAAATATAATTCTAATATTACCAGCTTTCTGAATAAATGAAAGTGAAACGACATTAACCTCTCTTATTTACAATTTCTCAGATACTTTTTAACATCGATGTTGAAGTAGTGGACTTCCTGTTGCTGTTCCATGCTATGAATAACATCAACCCTTTCCATTACTGGTTAACGTTAAAGACTGAGCCATCACTGTTACCACTGTAAGTGTAACCGCAGTTGCCGTTACCAACGACATATCCTTCACCAGAGTCGCTGCCGGAGATGGAGAGGATGAAGTTGGGATGGTTAAGCTGTGATGAGCATGTCTCGCCTGGGTGGTACAGCAAAAAGCAGTTCCTGTTCCTTGGTCTGAAAATGAACGTCTCGCAAGTTCCGAAATTCTGGCAGGCATTGCAGCAGTCTGTTGCAGTGCTAGCGCCATCAGCCACAGTGTTGAAATCGGAACCGACTCCTGGTCCGTTGTTGGCGACATTGACAGCATAATAAGATTTACCACCACTGCTGAAGTTAGGGCCAAACGTATTCAGTCCGGTACACGCGTCATAGACGGTAGGGCCAGGGATGACGGCCGTGGTGGTGGTGGAAGCTGTAACAGTGCTGGTCTCGAAGGTTGTTGTGAAGGTTGTCACACTAGATGTGAAAGTGGAAGTAATTGTTGATGAAACATCAGCGGGAACAACAGTCTTGGTAGACGTAAGAGTATTGGTCTTGGTAATCTCCCTCCAATAGAAAATGGTTTCTGTGACTGGGTGCGCAGTGGAATGCACAGTCTGGGTCTTGGTATTGGGCAGGATCTTAGTACCTGTTAACGATAAGTAAGCAAGTTAGAATGCTCATACTGCGTGTTCAAAAGGGAATACGATAACCTACAGTCTACTTTAGTAGGATACATCGAGGCCTGAAGACCATGAGGTTTCTGCACTTGAGCACGGGGAGGGTGAGGGTGGCCGACAGCACGGCGATTGAGAACATCCGAGTTAACAGTATCCTGAATGTTTCGGAAGCCTTGAGTAGTTGGCACCACGGTGGTCGAAGTTGACGAGGCAGTGTCGGTATTTGTTGTGGTTGTGGTCACTGTAGCCGTAATTGTGTCCGTCTCAACGGAAAACACCGTAGACGTGGTGGAAAAAGTGTCTGTCACAGTGCTATCTGTGATAGTCTTCGTCTTGGTGGTAAATCCAGTAATAGTGTACCACAGACCAACGTAACTCGTCACCGTTGGGCGAACAGTGACAGTCGTGGTTGGCTGATGGCTGCTGGTAGATGTTTTGGTGACAGTAGACACATGTTTTACCGATTTCGTGCCAAGTTCAGTACGGCAAGTGGTTGCTGGGTTAGTAGCAACGATAGAAGTCGCTAAGAATGGCAAAACTGCCAAAATTTGAAGTGCAGTCTTCATAGTGAACGGAAAAGGACCGAATAGTACCTTGAGTGAGAAGAGAAAGAAACTGGGTGCACTGCTGCAAACATTCGGGAGAGACGAGGAGACAGGCGCCTGTCGATTTATACAGCTTTAACTGCTGTCTTAGGTCGTGATCAAGTTTTGCTTCCTTCTTTTCCTCATCCCTTCAACACTTTACAGGTAATGGGCGAAATTGCCCGCGGGTCCGGTAGACCTTCAAGCATCTCGTTCGTTGTGGTCGGCGTGTTCTAGACGCGAGTTGTCATGGAGTAGCATCAAACTAAGTGGATATCAGGCGTGTTTCTTCAGTAGCTCCTTTATGGAAAACACTATTGGCTACATCACGACTACGGCCATGCAGAACCAGCTGCTCGGTATGCTGATTTTAAACCAAGAAACAATAGCTCGAAGCAATAGCGCCAAGCAATAGCGCGATCGAACTATCTCTTGGCGTCAGGAACGGGGCCATTTGCCGGACTAGTCCAGCCGTTAGCTCAGGGCAGATTTCAACTACAATGTCGAGCAAGACAAGAGGTTTCCAATGGGAATCTAAACCCCAGCCTAGTATGTTGCGCACTGTGAAGAAAAAATGGAATGGAGGAAGTATAAGGCCAATTATTCAGAAGCCCAGCTTATATTCCCTCATGTTCCATTGCCCAACTGACTGGTCGCGCGACTCGAGACCAATGAGCTCTTCGGCCGAACTGAGAACTTCTGGGCCACATTTATAAGTAAGTTCGCTTGCGTTATAGGCAGTATCATTATTGAATGATTATGAATCTATGAGAACGATGTTTTAGTAGTATTCTTCTTCAGCAATCCAGCAAAATTACTGCAATCGTATATCAAGTACAGCTTGTCGCATTGCCCAGTCAGTACTTGATTCATGTAGGGAGAGCTCGCATTCATACTATCAGCATCCAATACTTTCACCTGAGGTATATTTAGCGTGTTTATGATTTAAGAATATATTAATAGATTGTAACAGGTTTACGGTGACGAACGTTCCAGGCAACAGACTAATGGAGTACAAAGGCTAGCTAGCACTAGACCAAGCAATACTTTATATTTAAGTCAATATTTTAGCTCCTAGAGACCCATCAGATTAAAATAAGAATTAAGTAAGGAATTAAAATCTATAAACCGGAGATAACGCTATTGACTAGCAATTCGCTTTCAGCCGGAACGGCGGACGCTTAACACAGCCTAGTGAAAAAAGATGATGCTCAGCTGGGACTGCGATAGTTAAAGTACAAGGGTTAGAAGTCGCGAACTACTGTAAACTTTTCAATAAAGGCTTTAATAGTTACAATTTAAGTCAATGCAGCGGGGTAGCTGAAGAATAAGATTGTCCACGGAGTAATGTAATATATCATCAGGGGACTTTACCATCTTGTCTCGGCTCTATCGTGAACAAGAGAAGGATATTCAGTGAAACGGAGGGGGGCTTCTATCTTCTTCTTGGTGGTATTTCCGCTTCTTTCCGTTCACCATTTGTGTTTCACTGAGCAACACATTTTATAGCTGAGACTCAAGCTCTTCTTTTGTCTCGAGCTCGGCTGCTATCTCAGCGGGTTTGGCGACTTCTTATTCAGAATGCTATCCCATAAAGGCATCGCCTTTCTAGGCTTTGCCACAACTTTTCTCTTTGGCAATCAAGTCTCTGCCGCTCCGCATGCCAATGAGGCCCGATATCCCGATGTGCCTCGCCTCAACAGTCGCGATGACTCTTCCAACGCTACAACAAATGGCACGAAAACGAGCCTAGAACCTATTGTTCCTCCGAGCATTGACCAGAACGACCTCTCAATTCTTTCTCTTGCCACTAATGTCACATTAGCATGGGCCGGCTCGACTGCCAACTCATTCACCAACTCAAGCCCTCAGCGGCGAATGCTAAAGCGCGATGGCGGTATATTGTCTCAAGCCCTTATGACATTTGCCTACCCAACAATCCCGCTTGACCATTCTTTATACGTATCTGATGTTAGCTGCACTAAGGGTAGCCTGACTGGCACTCTAAGCGATAATGCCTATGGATTTGCGAAGAAAGAGTGGACTGGGGCAAATGATATTGTTTTTGTAACATCTGTGGATGGCTGTGGCCTGGACAATCAAAACGACTTTTTTCATGCTAAATCTATCTCTTTTTCCGATAGCAACAAAAGTTTCACGGCCACTGGATCCTCAGCTGCTCTCAAAGCTGTAGCCGTCCATGTGAATCTCAAATGGGGCGACGTTGGATCCACACAAGTGAAGCGCGCTGTTGATAAGAGAGACGTAAGTATTAAGCCCTCTCGCCATGGATCTACAGCTTTATCTTTGCAGTTTTATTATTATGATTATTATTATTATTATTATTATGTTCCCTTCGAATTCCGCTAACACGCTCATCATAAATCTAGATGTTCGAGGCGCACCCCCTTGCAGCTCGGGATACAGAATCAGTTACCTTATCCTGGAATTACTGGCTTAACGACGACGATCACCTCGGTACCGATCCCGATGCGCCATGGCCAAACGCCGCTCCATTGGAGAAATGGGGTTCTGAGGGAGGTGAAGAAGATGATTCTTACGAGAAGGGCGAAGTCGCAGACCCTAGCGGTCACCATAAGCGCTCAAACGAAACGTCTTCATCTGTTTCTACTCATTCTGCCCGTGATCTCGAATACGGTTTGGCTCTCTACTGCGTTGAATGTGGCTTTGGAGGCTCAGCAACGCTCTGGGGTGAAATAGACGCATCTCTCTGGACTCTTTCGGTCGATACGCTGCAAGTGGGAATCAACGCCAACTTTGAAGCAGGACTCAATCTTGGCATGGAGGCGTTTTTTAAATATGAAAAAGAATGGAGCAAAGAACTAGCCAGACTTAATCTGGGCGGTTTCGAGATTCCCCTTCTAATTGACGTTGGTCCATTCATCAGTGTCTCAGTAGACGCTGAGGTGACTATCGATGCAACTGGCACCCTGCTCATCGGCGCCTCCGTATCTTGGGACAACATTGACATTATGCTGGATTTGCTTCATTCTGGCAACAGCCATGCAAATGGCCTTTCGCCTACCTTCCAACATACAGCCGAGGCTTCGGGTGAGCTTCATCTCGAGGCATCGCTAGGTCTGCCCATCAAGCTAGGCGTTGGCATCAGTATTCTTGATGGGGAGTTTGAGGTAGACGCTGCTATAGTGGACACTCCTTCAATTGTCGCTGAGGGCGCGTTTGAAATATCGGCCTCAGTCGGAGAGGATGGTGAAATCGAGGTCGATCTTGATGGCACCTGCTACGGTATTGCTTGGGATATTCATTTTGAGAATACGCTTCAAGCTGTTTTAGAAGGAGATTTCGTTGGTTCGGATACATTTGACCTCATTCCTCCTCAGGAGAGCGCTCCCATTGCTCAAGGGTGCATCGGATACGTAAACGATGGCACTGATGACAACGATTCAGGCAATCCCCAAGGTAAAGGTGCTAGCACCGGCATGGGCGGCAACGGCTTGAACAGCGGTGGTCTTGGCTTAGCCGGCTCTGGTTCGGGCTCCAATTCCGGCCCCAATTCCGGCTCTGGTAGCGGAAAGGGCTCCAGCAGTTCCAAGAGTACCAGCACTGCCAAGAGCACAAGCACTGCCAAGAGCACAAGCACTGCCAAGAGCACAAGCACTGCCAAGAG